TTCTCAGTGCTGTGCTTTAACCGGCTGCACCAACAGGGAGGGCCCTCCATGTTCTTATATTTTACTTCTTGGGTATGAGCTTCAGGCACAGCCCCCAACAGTCTGTTATCTGCAGTCTGATGCCTACAGATATTTGGGCATCCTGGGGCATCCCAGACACCGGGTTTTGACCTTGATTTTATGGCTGTATCAGTTGCTGCACTGGCCCCTTCTGACTGTCCCCTCTATGCTACTCAATCTTGTGATGTCTCCCTGCATTCCTTCCCCCATCACGTTACTAATGAAGACAGTAAAAGAACTGCAAGTAGAACTTCAGAATGTTTTCCTAGGAAGAAACAGAAAAGACACCTAACATCCATCAGCTTCCCAATTCCTCCAGACCTGAAACATACAGAAGATAAAGAACTCATGGTCTGATTATAGCTCAGTGACAAAAGTAAAAGGGGAGACAAAATTTAGCTACAATTTTTATTTCTATCATAAGAAAGACTGGAAAGTAATTGTGTGGCAAAGGAGGAGCTTCCTATCTCTGGTTGTGTTTAAGAAGCCAACAGGGTGGTTCCTGATGAAGACGTAAGTTTGGACCAGACCTGTCAGCTCCTTCCAGTTATAAAATTCTAGAAATTTTAAAGCTTGGCAAGAGACCGGGTTAACTCACAAATTAAAGAGACATATCTTAGCCCCAAATGGCATTTTAGGGCATTTTAAGTCAGTGGAGGGTGGCTGGTGGAGAATTTGAGCAATAAGGAAATACCTCAGAGGTTTAGCATCTTCAACTGGCTGGTCTTTCCCCACAGGATTAGTCAGAATTTGTGGTTACAAGATAAAGAAATGTAACTCAGACTGACTTAGCAAAAAAGAAAATGTATTGGCTTAGAGAAGTGAAAAGTCCAAAAGGCAGCTATAGGATGCATGGCTGCATCCAATGAACTCAGTTGGATGTGGTCTCTCTCCCTGTCCCAGCACTGATTCTCTCCTTATAGCCAAAACCAGCTTGGAAGTTTAGACTCCTCTAAACAGAGGCAGAGCAAGGCCTTGGCTGAACAGCTTGCCAAATGGCCGCCACCCATTAGGATTTCCTAGGACTGGCCTCTGACTGTCCCAAAGCCATTGGATTATCCCTATCCTCCCTGCTGGAATGTCAGGAAGAGGGGGAAAGTTGGTGCCCCAGAAGGACCTGATGGCTTCTCCTAAGCAATTTACCCCATAGGGTTGAAGTCATACCCCAGGGAGTAGGGAGGCTGCTAAGGAAAGCACCTGGAGCTATGGAAAGGGGAAAACTACCGGCTGTTTGGTAGGGAGGTGGGGCAAAGCAGGCCTTCACAGGTGTTGAAGAGGCCCATCCGGCTGCCCCAACTTTGTCCTCTTCTGGACACCGGGTTCGGTTAGGAAATTGCCTTGTGTTTGGTCCTGAGGACGTAGGCTCAGCCTCGGTGATACAGAGAAAAGGCAAGTAACTGCGTTATGGGGATGAGAGAAACAGGCGGCAAGAAGGTTCAGATCACACACTGCTCCATAGGGAAAAAGTCCAACATCATTTGCGAACACAAGAGGCCGGCGGCTCGGGAAGCTACGGACTGGAGTTGGGATCCCCGGGCCAGCCAGCGGGACTACAGCTCCCGGCAGGCTGTGGACCGGGCAGCATGACGCATGCGCAGAGGTGAGGGCGAGGCCGCGGCGGCCTGGCGGGGACGCTGGGGGCTGGGCCTTGCGCGGGCTGATGCTGCCTGTGTGCGCTGCGCAGCTCTGCGGCTATAGCGGGGTTGATGCCGGAGACTGCGGCCTGGGTTTGGCATTTGAGGTCAATTGCTTCGTCCCAAGGGGTGGGTGGGGCCTCACCCTCCATCTCTTCCAAAGTAAAGGTCTCACATCCCCCAAGCCACGGACACTTTGAACCGTCGTCAGCACTGCACCCCTCAGAACCCCACATCCAGCTGCCGGTGGTTCCCCACATCCGGGGTCCACCCCCAAATCTACCCTGCCTCCCACACAGTTCCGGATGCCCGCCCTTCACGGTGATCCGGGTCTCTCCTGGGGAGGCCTAGGTTGGGGTCCTCAGGTCCAGGAACCCTGGGGCGTTGGGTCATTCTGGGGGTGCAGGGGAGTGTTTCCCTTCTCACTGGGAAGACATCGGTTCAGAGTTTCCTATTCTATGATGTTCTCTGGGACTCTGAATGGAAAGAAATTTGGAAGTAAAATCCTCAGCTACCCCCCTTCTGCCCGCTCAAACCTCAGAGTTCTGTCAAGCAGTACATACGTCTCCAGAGGCGCTAGGGGTAGATGGCCTTGTAGTGAGGGAGGCTGAGCACTTAACACAGCAGTGAGGGAGGCTGAGCACTTAACACAGCAGTGAGGGAGGCTGAGCACTTAACACCAGCCGGCTGCAGGGGAGAGGAGTCTGCCCTGCGAGAGCTTGCAGGTGGAAGCTTGTAGACCCGCTGATGGGTGAGGATGCCGCAGTTCTGACAGAGGTGCAGAGGAGCAGGGGTTCCTGCCTTGGACTCCCAGAACACACCCCCTTCAGGGTGGATATGGCAGCCTCTCTTGGCGCAGCCCCACCTCCCCAACCTAGAAGCCCCAGAAATGGTCTATTCAGGCAGCAAGGTTGACAACTCCACCTTGTGGGGTCTGTTGCAAGACTGTAGCCTTTTAGGTAAAATCTAAATACATTTTGAGAAGTTTATTTGAAAACCTGGGAACACAACAGATGCAAACGTAATGGAGCCATGTTCTCCTGCTAGGGTTCCCAGGTTAGAAATCAGGTTTAGTTTCCTCAGTTACTAGGCTCCAGGACCCCTCCAATCAGTAGGCTCCCGGGGAATATACCCACACAGGTCCTCTCAGAATCATCCCCTCCCCCACTGCCCACTTCCTGTGTCTGAGGAGACACTGAGGTGCCAGGGGTTAGACAGAGGACGCAGAGTGGAGAGGATCTGGTTAAACTCCAGAAGCAAAGTAAGAGAAAGCCTGAGAGTTTGGGGACTGAGAGGAATCGATGGAAATAAAAAGAGAGAGAGAGATGAGGAAAAGGTACCACCTTTACTTCCTTCAAGAAACAGGGTCTGCCATTCCCCCTGAGATGTCTTCCTCGCCACTCAGATATAGGTTCCGGAACATTACCTCTTTTGACAGGACGTCCAAAGCCTGTCTTGGGGAGTGGTTGGAAAACAGTCACCCCCAGGATAGAGGAGCAGTAACCCCTACAACAGGAGGCTAGGGCAATGCATGTCCCACACTGTTCCAGGCCCTTCATTTCAGCTGGGTGCAGGCTGGCTGTTGGCATAGGCCTGGTCTGGGAAAGAAGCCCGCGCCCTGCGGGTCTGGGCACACACCGAGGCATAGAGCTCCAGCTCCGGGCCCAGGTCTTGGGGCTTCGGCTCAGAATCCAGCACCACCTCAGAGTACTTGATGGCGGTTCCGGGACTGGGGATCCGGCCCTGAGGACGTCTCAGCTGCAGGCTGGTATAGCACATCACCTCCTCTGCAGTCTGGAGACAGAGGCTGTTAGAGATTCACTTGACCCCTGAGAAAGCCCCCGACCTCCCCCCTCCCCTGTCTTTCAGCCTTGACTGACTCACCCTGCCAGGACCTCCAGGTATTGGATCCTGCTGGTCTGGCTGTGGTTCTTGAGACAGCCGACCTGGAGAGGGGCCAGAAATTGGGTCACTTCTTATTCTTCCTGCACCCTACCCACCCCTTCACCCTACCCACCCCTTCACCCTACCCACCCAGGACCTGGCCTCTGTGCCCTCCCCCTCTGCCAGCTTCCTACCTGTCTGCAGATAATGAAGGTTCCCATACAGGGGGACCTCTTCCGCAGACTCTCCGGAGCTGCAACACAGGGTTCAGAGGGTGAGTGGGGACTCCTAGGTAAAAGGGAACTCTCCATCTAGCACCTGTTGTCCCGTACTCACCGGTCCTGTCCTGGAGGCCTCTTGCTCCTGCTCCTGCTGCGAGTCCATCGGGACAAGTGTGCCGCCATTGAGATGAGAAACAGCAGCGTCACAGCTCCTAACAGGCCCAAGTACAGGAACGTGAGGTCTGGAGCTGTGAGAGGATGGGGTGGGGGTTCATTACTGCCCAGCCCAAAACTTCAGGTCCCAGCTGGTGGGACAGAGACCACGTGACCCCTCCTGCCCCTGCCCCTGCCCCTGCCCCGCCCAGCTCACCGTGGCACTCATTGCAGCACTTGGTGCAGTTGCTACTATTGTTCATGGCTGCTGATGTTCATGACCTGACAGCTGCCACAGTCCCCCTTATTCCCACCCCTCCTTGGGCTGAGCCCCCACAGTTCAGCATCCCCAATACTGGTGGTGGCAAAGTTGCTGGCTTCCGGGGAGGAGAGGGGAGGAGGGGGAGGGGGGAAGGAGGGATGAATGATAAAACAAAGACACCGCCCTGTGCCTGCACCTGCCAAGCTTCCGCCCCCCCCCCCAAGGCCCGTACCCTCTCTGTCAGAGAAGAAATAGGCGGGCCTGAATTTACTGTGGTATTGTGCAGGTGAGCCCATGAAAACTCTGAGCAGGCTAAAGTGGCCTGAGGTCAGACAATGAAGCTAAATCTTCTGACCGTGATTCCCTTCTGCCACCCGGTTTCTACCTTTTCTCTCCAATTCCAAGTCCTGTGAAAGAGACAGTTTTCCTGCTGGTATCTACACCAATCCCAGGCTGACCTTTGGAGAATGTGTTAAGATGGCCACTATCATTTTTATTATTGGTAAAATAGTTTGGAGGCTAGAGGAAGCTAGATTCTCTCATCTGCACCCCCGCCAGCCTATTCACTTCATCCAAACCCAAACTCTTCCTTAGAACTGCCACTCAAAAACTGGTTGATTTAGGGCTTCCCTGGTGGGGTAGGGGTTAAAGATACAGCACTATCAAGATCACCAGCCACTGAGAGATGAGTTCAGTTCCAGCCAGGGAGGTGACCCACGTGGCACAGATCTGTGTTGCCCGCTGCTCCCCTCAGCAGTGTGTGTTAGCCCATCTGCCTCCTCTGCTCCCCACTCTGTCTTTGGTGAATCTTCTCACCCTCCCCCACAACACACACCCCTCTGGCCTACACCTGTTTTTTGTTTTTTTTTTAGGCATACAAGTACTGGATTACAGGATAGCTTTATAGTGCTGTAGTTTAAACCTGTGGCGCTACCCAGGGAGGGCCATCCCAGTTCTTATATGCATAAATAGGTAAATTTTTTTTTTTTTGAAAACTAGTTGATTTAAGGAAACCTCTGGCTCAGTACTATGCTGGGAAACTGAGCCTGTCTTTGCACTTGCTCCCTTCAGGCAGTGTTGTTCCAGTCCAGGAGGCCCACCACACTGGAGGCTATTGATGTGGGAAGGATTAGAGTTACAACTACAAACTTCACACCAGGGGTCAGAGATGGGTTTTGTTTAGCACATTCAATGTCTTTTCAAAAATTAGTCATTGCTGTGGGGTGCTGAGGTGGAAATGGCTGGAAAGGCACTATCCCCCCAGTTGCAGTTGAATTTCAGTTGAGAATTTTAAAATACAAGCAACTAAAAATCTGTCTCCTTGTTATTATCATAGTGTTCTGGCAATTCTAAAACATGTTAATAACAAATACTGTTCCCTGAATAACTGTCTATGGTCCTAAGGTCTAAATTGCTGTAGTTGTTGATGTCGTTATTGATTTAATAACATATAAGCTTTAAATTAGTACATTGTGGGCCCTCCTTGGTTATGCAGAGGATTAAAAAACACAGCACTATGAAACTAGCTGCAGCCACTTCAGCACAAGTTCCATCCCAGTCAGGGGAGTGACCCACATGGCGCTCAGATCTCTCCTGACCCACATGCTAAAGCCCTCAGCAGTGTACTTCATCAATCTGCCTGTTCCACTCCCCACTCTGTCTCTGGTGAATCTTCTCACCACCCCTGCACCTCTGGCCTATACCCCAGTTCTGTATGCATACATAAATAAATCTTTGGGAAAAAATAAAAAAAATTTTGGGGGTCATGCACAAATATTTATTGAATTCCAGGTGTTCCACATACAGTGATATTTAATTATCAGATCCTGTCAGATATGTACACTTATCTCCATTTTTTTTTAAATAAAATTTTAAAAATTAAACAGGAATAAACTAGTACATTGCTATTACATCTCCTTTAAAAATACTGTTACCTAGCTTACTAGACACCGCGCTGGCCAGTGTTGGAGAGACCACTACCGGTGAACTGGCATGGGTTTTTCGACTCAGAGTGGGTGCGGATCTAGTAGGCCTGGGTTCTGGGAGTCCCAGTGATGGACTGAGCCTGGTTGTGCCGAGCGGGGGTGTCTCAGATGAGCCGAGAATCGAAATGCTTCATGGAACCCCTACCCTGGCCTTCAAGTTTCGCCACGGAGTCATTATTGTAGCAGACTCCCAGGCCACAGCCGGTGTCTACATTGCATGGGTAGAAGATAAGAAGGTGATTGAAATCAACCCTTATCTGCTGGGCACCATGGCTGGGTGTGCAGCCAATTGCAGTTTCTGGGAACGACTCTTGGCTCGGCAATGTCGATTCAATGAGCTTCGAAACAAGGAACGCATTTCCGTAGCGGCGGCCTCCGAACTGCTAATATGGTGTTATCAGTATAAAGGCATGGGGCTGTCCATGGGCACCATGATCTGTGGCTGGGATAGGATAGGCCCTAGCCTCTACTATGTGGACAGTGAAGGACCCCAATCTCAGGAGTTACCTTCTCTGTAGATTCTGGCTCTGTGTATGCCTATGGAGTCATGGTTCGGGGTTACTTCTATGACCTGGAAGTGGAAGAGGCTTATGAATTGGCTCGTCAAACCATCTATTAAGCCACTTACAGAAAGGCCTATTCAGAAGGTTCAGTCAACCTCTATCATGTCCGAGAGAATGGCTGGATCCAAGTCTCCAGTGACAGTGTCACTGATCTTCATGACAAGTACAGTGAATCTACTCCCTGGAGGAGGGGGGATGTGGCCACTTGGATTTCTTGGGGTGACTGTTTTGATAATATGGGTACAGCACACCATCCCACAGCGGAGGGGGTTCCTACTTATATTGATTTTATTTTTAAGCTCTGGTGCATCGACCTCTGTGTGTTACTATTTAATGAGCTGCTGCAGGAGTATCATTTGTTTTACTTTCTTGGATGTTAACATTACACTACTCCATCTCAAAAAAAAAAAAAAAATACTGTGCCTATATGAGGTTTATCTAGAGAACTCTCAGCTATATAGCCAGCCCCTAACATATGCAAATTCATGTATCTGTATCTATGCCTAGAATTACTTCTTTAAGGTATAAAATTGTTCAAGTTCGCTTTGGACACAATCTCCGTTCCCAGCCTCTATGACATTATATAGTCCTGCATTTAACCAGTAGAATTAAAATAAATAATTAGGGCCTCACTGGTGACCTAAGAGTTAAGTCTCAGCACTATCATCCAGAAGGCCTGAGTTCAATCCCTGTACAGGGAGGTGACCCACACATGGAGCAGCAGACCTCTCCTGTCTTGCCCCTCAGCAGTACATTTCAGTCAATCCACTCTGTCTCTGGTGATTCCTCTCACTCCCCACACCTCTGGCCTACATCCAGTTCTTCAACACCAAAAATAAAAATAAATAAAAGTTCCTTGGTTGTAACATCAAAGAAATTGAACTTGAGTTACTTTAGTTCTGTCATTCTGGGTGACCACCTGGGTTTATATTTAAAACTTCTGGAATTTGGCTCTCCCTGGTGGTGCAATGGGTTAAAGCAGCACATTATGAACCTCCCGAAAGCCACTGCAGCCCAAGTTCGATCCCCCCACCAGGGATGGCACAGCAGACCTCTCTTGACCTGCCAGCTGCTACCTCAGCAGTGTACTTTGTCAACCTGCCTATTCTGTTTCCCACTCTGTCTCTGGTGAATCTTCTCACCCACCACACCTCTAGCCTGTACCCCAGTTCTGTTAAGCATAAATAAATCTTAGAAAAAAAACAAACAGGGGATCAAAAACAGTGGGAGGAGGGAAGTACGCTGGACTATGGTGATGGCAGATGGGTGACTTGGTGAAGGGAAACCCACAGAAATTACAATTGAGATGAAAAAAATGTACCAAATGATGTAAAAATAAACTATTGTATTATATACTGGGAAAAAAAAACTTCTGGAATTCATTGTGAAGTGGAATTTTTATGAGTCTTATGTTTAAGTCTTTCCCTAACTATAGTATGTCTAAAAACACTCTTTGAAATGAAGATTAATAAAACTTATTCTTTAACCAACTAAAGTGCAGATTGACAAATAGCCAGATTTGTCACTATTGAATGTGCATATGGAAAGATAATTTTTTAAACTTCTTTTTCCTTTTTTTTTAATAACAGTTTACTTTTACATCATTTTGTACATTTTTTCCCCTCAACTGTAATCCCCGTGGGTTTCCCATCACCGAGTCACCCATGTGCCATCACCATAGTCCCGTTCACTTCCCCCCCCCCCCCCGTTTTTAAACTACTTCTTTTCCTTTTTTTTTTTTTTTTAAGATTTATTTATTTGTACATACAGAACTGGGGTACAGGCCAGAGGCTCAGGGGCGGTGAGAGGCTTCACCAGAGACAGAGTGGGGAGCAGAACAGGCAGATCTACGAAGTACACTGCTGAGGGGAGCAGCGGGCGGGTCAGGAGAGGTCTGCTGCACCCTGTGGATCACCTCCAGGGTGGGGTTCGTCTGTGGCTAGCTTCCTGTGCTGTGTCCTTACCCATTTTGCCACCAGGGAGGGCCATAAAGATCATTTTAAACAAACTTGCCAAAGTATAAAGAAAAGAAACTGGGATGTGATTCATCACTGAGATTAATATTGAGTCATTGGGCAAGCAGGCAGCTGCACCTGCCAAGCTGCAGGTGCAGCTTGAATAGAATAGGAAAAGCCTCAGAAAATCAGGAAAGCCAGAGATAAGGGCAACAAATTCCAAAAGGGACTAATCAAACACCCCAGGACCAGGGGCAACAGGACTCTCCCAGTAAAGAAAAAGGACTCTAAGATATAGGCTGTGAAGCAAGATATAACTTTTGGCACAGAGATATTAAGACAGAGTGATTGAGACCACCACGAGAAGGCTAATCACAAAGACAGGGATGGGACTTCAGAATAATTAAGGAAAGAAGGTGCATATTCCCTGAGGCAGACCCCATGGTCCACGGGCTTGGAAGTCTCACTTTGTTTCTGTTCATTCCTTAATAAACTTTTCCTTATATCTGTTTCTCTAAACATAATTTGCCTTTTTTCCGCTTACTTGCCTTAGTGTGCTAGTGACTAGGACTCATCTCTGCCCCCACAGCCTGGGTCCATTTCTACCTGGGGAACTAGCCCTGAAATTGCAGTATCAATGTGTAGGTATAAGTTCTTTGCCCCTTTACTCAAAAGTACAAAAATGTATTTAACTATGAACCCATTACTTTTTTCCTTTCTTATTTGGTATGTTTTTTAATTTTTAATTTTAACTACATATTTTTTTTACTCATGATTATATCTGCAGAGTTCAAGAAATGAAATATTTCACTGCAATTTGTTTCTGGTTGGTCAGTACTATTTACTAAAAAAAAAATCTGTCATATAAAGGAGGACTTTTTTTTTATTTATGCATACAAGAACTAGGGTGCAGGCCAAAGGTATGGGGGTGAGAGGATTCCCAATAGAGGCAGAATGGGAAGCAGAACAGGTGGATTGACTGAAATACACTGCTGAGGGGAGCAGATGGTGAAACAGGAGAGCTGCACCATGTGAGGGATTGAGCTCATGCTTCAGTGGCTAGTGATAGCTGAGAGCCTGAGATTTTAACCCTTGCACGACCAGGAAGGCCCAAGGAGGACTTGTTTTAATAGTCCACTTAAATGACAGATATGTTAATATTACAAGGATTCCTTATCAATATTTGTTGATTCTTTTGGAAAACAAAAAACCACAAATCTGAAACCAGGCAAAACTGAGGGTTGCCCAAGGACACCAAATGTTAAGAAGAAAAATCCATGTTCCCAATTCAGGGTTTGTGCCTATCCATGATCATAAAAGCAAAGTTATCATACTCTAGTTCATGCAAGGATTTTTAAACCATGAGCAGTTCAGAGGGAATAGACAGAGTGAGAGGACATGTAGGGGAGAGAAAAATATCAAAATACAGATTCTCCATCAAAATTCAAAATCAACCATCCCCTCATGGATACTCAAAATAAAGCCCAAAGTGGAGCCACCAAGACCCAAGAGCTGAGCCACCAGAAATGAATCCAGATAACTCTTGGCAAGAGGTTACATAAAGCCCAAATGATTGGGAAAGAATCAAAGCTCAAAATGAAACACCCAAGTTGAATCTACAAGGTCAAGATAGTGGCTCACAGTCTGAGGAGAGTAGGTTTGTGCTACTTGCTAAAATGCTAAAACTGGACAAGAGAGATCGGCACCTATGTATTCAGTATTGTGGGTTTTTTTTTTTTAAGATTTATTTATTTATGCATACAGAGCTGGGGTGCAGAGGCGGTGAGAGGATTCACCAGAGACAGAGTGGGGAGCAGAACAGGCAGATAGTCAAAGTTCACTCACTGCTGAGAGGAGCAGCGGCCAGGTCAGGAGAGGTCTGCAGCGCCGTGTGGGTCACTCCAGGGCCGGGATCGAACTCATGCTAAAGTGGCTTTAGCTTCTTAGTGCAGTGCTTCAACCCGCTGCGCCACCAGGGAGAGTCCTGTACTCAGTGTTTTAAGTTCAACGTGGCTGCTCAGCTCTGTCCTGGTTCCCAGTAGTGCCCTGCACCTGGGCATCTGAGAAGTCAGCTACCTGGTGATTGGGTGGTGGGTGTTCAGGGCATCAAGGGGTGGAGTCCAGAGTGTCATTTACTGCCAGCTGGACCCAGACCCTCAGCTGCATCAACCAACGAATTTGGCTAGTGAGCCTGAATGCCTTAAAGGCAGCAATCAGCTAGGAGTCACTTATCATGTCATTGTACCTGGCCTGGACTACTATTCCTTTACATGGATTCTGCCAGTTCTCTTAGAGTCCAGTTTGAACTGTCCTGCTTGGCAAGCCAGGCCACTTCGGATAGCCAGCTAGATTGAGACAATTCCCCTGAGTACAGTTCTCAGCCTGCCCTGCCCAGCCCTGCTCCCTTTCTGGAAAGACAAGATAGACCCCTATTTTAGTCATTTACTTAGCACAGATATCATTCACTTAATACACACGTACCAATTGTTTGTTTATGTGCCAAATGCTATAGATACTAATATTAGTGGAACACATTTCTTTCCTCAAAGAACTCTTGGTCAAATTAGAAAGATGATGCTATGTATCCTCGTTATTTTATTTATTGAAAGATTTATTTATTTATGCATACAAGAACTGGGCTACAGGTCAGAGGTGCAGGGAATGAGAGGATTCACCAGAGACAGAGTGGGGAGCAGAACAGATGGAATGACTGAAATATACTGCTGAGGGGAAACAGGAGATCTGCTGTGCCTGTGGGTCACAGGGGGATCAGAGGGGGATCAAACTAGTGCTGCAGTGACTGCAGATTGATTTACAGTGTTGAGATTCAACCCTTTTGTACCACCACCATGAGGAAGGTTCCCCTATCCTGGTTATTTTAAATGTTGAAGTTGTGAAAGGCAAGGAGAAGGAAGCATTCAAGGTTGAAATATTTTCTTTTTTTTACACTTGAAAAGGACATGTTTAGTAGGAAAAGGACCGGAAATAAGAAAGCCACCTGCATAGTCAGAGGGAAACAGGGTGGAGAGCTCCTTGAGATGATTTGATATAGATTTGGAGAAGCAGAGAAGGGCTGAAATATCCGCAATTATTCTTCTCTGATTAATATCTTACTTAAGCTTCCTGAAACTTAGCTTCCTCATTCTTTAAAGTAACCTAGTTGTATTTACCTTTAGGGCTGTTGACATTCATTACTTTGAATCAACAATGATTCATTAAGTGACTGCCAGTACCAGGTGCTGTACTAGACTCTAGGAACAAACTGGTAAAGAACAGATATAGCTCATACTCTTGTGGAACGTACAGCCTTTATACAGCTAGTTTTAATTGCTTTGTTTTAATTAAAATAGATTTTCCAGTTCATTCAAATATAATTGGTAGATAATAATGGTATTGAAGAAAGTACAACTGCACTAGTGAAAAAATTAGGAGAGGGCCTCCCTGGTGGCACAGGAATATAAGTCTCAGTGCTATCAAGCTATCACCAGTGACATAAGTTGTATCCCCCACCAGTCAATCCACCAGTTCTGCTCTCCACTCTGTCTCTGGTAAGTCTTCTCACATGCACACACACATCCTGAACCTCTGGCCTAGACTCCAGCTTTTGCATATATAAATAAATAAAAATAAATCTTTTTTAAAAATCAGAAGAGGGCTCTCCCTGGTGGCACAACGGGTTAGCAGCCACTTAAGCACAAGTTCCGTCCCCGACGCGGAGGTGACCCACATGATGTGGCCTCTCCTGTCCTGCCGGCTGCTCCTCTCAGCTGTTTACTTCGTCAATCTGCCTGTTCTGCTTCCCACTTTGTCTCTATGAATCCTCTCACCGCCCCTGCACCCCAGTTATGTATCCATAAATAAGTAAATCTTTTTTTTTTTAAGTACAAGAGTCCTGAGTGAAAGGAACACAAGAGCTAAATATGGTGTAGAAGTCATCTATGCAGAAGGGCAGTGGCAGTAGAACATGTGGGAGAGAGTTACTATAATTTTCAGTGCCTGGATTTTAATAAGTACTCGAGTCAAAATCACTAAAAGCTAGGCACGGTTCTAAGCACTATTTAATTATCCCATTTAGTTCTCATAACAACTCCGTGAGGCACATATGTGCTATTATTCATTGTAGAAACTGAGGCACAGAGAGATTACATTGATCAAAGTTGTTTAGGGAAGGCAGGATCTAGGCCAGGCAGAGTCTATAGCCTATTGCTACCATGTTACACAATAAGTGGAAGTTAATACAGACCACTGGACAGAGTTGGGGAAAGGAACCATTTCAGGAAGAAGGGGCTGTAATAAAATGGCACAGGGCCTGATAGGGGCTAGGCAGGAGAGAGAGAGTGAGACACTAAGCGTGGTATGGTAGGAAATCTGTACACATGTTATTGTTGATGGCCTGTCTGCTGAGTTAATTTTCCAGTCCGAGGGCACATCTGGAGGAACGCGAGGAGCCAGAGCTATCTGAAGACCAGTACTCAGTATAATGGGACGAACCTGAGGCCAGTTGTCCAGGAGGGCAAGAAGGAGCTGAGGGGTTGTTGGGGGGCTGGACAGCACAATTTCCTGGCAGCCGTCAAGGCCTGCTACCAGCTTACTATTTTTTGTTGAATTTACAATAAAAAGCAGTTGAAAATGAAATGTTAATCCTTCTCCTCCCAGACTACCAGCTGGTTAAAGCGCACCTAAACCTTTCCAAAAAGCAGCCGCACTGAGAATGAGCCCCGTGTAGTTGGCGCGCACGGAGGCGCACTGCCTGCGTCACTAGAACAGCTGACGGATGACACCCCTGCTTCACGCCGCTCAGCTAGCCCGCCGGAGAAGGGCGGGGGTCGCTTCTTGGCGGGTTTAACAGTGAGCTGCAGGGAGGTCTACGTGCGTGGGCACGTGGCACTCTCTGCCGGAGGTCCGGGGACTTTCCCCTAGGCAGAAGTAAGGAACAAGTCCCCCGTTTGTAGCCTAGGAAACAGGCCTTCAGCACGAACTAGAAAACGCGGCGAGCGTGACCTCTTTATAGCTCCATCAACGAGTTTGCCTTTAGGTGAGGGCGAGGTAGTTGGTGGGTGAAAAATAAAAATTAATGTTTTTTTATATATAGTCATTTAAAACTGCGGTACTCTAGAGGAATTCGACTAATAGAATACCTAAATAGATAAGAAATTAACTCTTTTAGGAAAGCTGGGAAACAGCCCCATGCTATGCAAATAAGATCCGGCCCCACCCACAGACGAAGTGGGTGTGGCCTTTCTGGGAGGCCGGAGCAGAACCAGCGTGGGTGGTGCCTACGCATGCGCACTGGGGCGGGTGGCCCACACTGGCGCCAGCTGAGCCAGGGTCCGTCGGTCTGCAATGGCGAGCGCGGTTTCGCTCTCGGGTGTGCTTGGGCTGCTACTTGTGTCTGCACTGCCCGAGGTTCTCGGAGTTCTCCCCAGCCCTGACCTCCGGGCACACCAAGGTACCAGCGAGGGCTGCTGGAGGGGGGCTCGGAATGCCCACGGGTCCCAGGCCCTAGACCTACTGATCCACCTCTGCCCTCCTCCGCAGGGGGCCCCACCCAGGTCGGCCCTGCGGTCGCTGAACCCCGACGGCGGCAGCCGCTCAAGGACCAGCACGAGCGGGCCCGGGCCGGGGCACTGTCCCTGGGGGCGCTGTACACCGCGGCCGTCGTGGCTTTTGTGCTATACAAGTGTTTGCAGGTGCGGGACGACCAGGGGTGGGAAATGCCGGGGTCCGGAATCTCCCATGGGGGCGCTATGGTACCAAGAACCTGATACCACTTCACGTCAGTCTAAAATGAAGACAGTTCCTTGGCTTGCCAACATTATGGGGCTATTTTGAACATCTCACGAGGTAATGAATGTGGAGGGGGCGAGGTGATGTGTAAATACTTACCATCACATTTAGTCATCCCCCCTCACCCCCAAAGATTCTATGAAGATTGACATGCGCACTATCATCTAGCGCTAATTAGTGGTGGGGCTGGGATTTGAACCCAACAAGTGCCTATACTACAAAAACTGGGTTTCTGCTATTTCCAGGTTGGCTTCTGGGGTTGTTTGAGGTGAAGATCCCAAGCAGGCTTGTACTTGAGAAGGATGCCCTGAAATGTGGACAGTGGTTGAAACTGTTAAATGAAAGTAGTATTTTCCAGGGCTATAACTGCAGCCCTGGTCTTACCACTTACTCACCTTAGGAAATTAGTTGCCCTACTTGAAGATGATCAAACTAGATGTGATAACTAATCCTGAACCTAATTAGACTTGAGAGAGTAGGATGAGATTCTTAATGGCAAATTTAACAAGGATATATGTAAGTTGGTTTTTTTTTTTTAAATTCAGGTATAACTGACATTTTTTTTCAGATGTACATGATTTGATATTTGTAAATATTGTGGAATCACAGTAAGTGTAAACTTATTTCACTATAACATTACATTTTTCTTCTTTTGATGAAAACTTCTAAGATTTACTAAGCCAGTTTCAAATATGCAATATAGTATTATTACCTGTTGTCACTGCTTACTTTACATCTCCGGAGTTAGTACCTTTTGGTCTTCTTCATCTGTTATGCCCCACCCTCCTCTTCTAGCAACCAAGCTAAGTTCCATCCATCCTTTTTGTTTTTAGACATGAGAACATATGTCTTTCTGATTTCACTTAGCACAATGCCCTCAAGGTCCATCCCTGTTGTCACAAATGGCAGGTCTCCTTGTGTATAATGGTTGAGCAATATTCCATGAATTCATATGCCATAGTTTCTTTTCCATCCATTAATAGAGCTTAGGTTGTCTCAGTCAATTCTATTCTTGTATCCAAGTAGTCTGAAAGAAACTTATCTTAGCAGCTGTTTATTAGTTGGCTAATAAAGTTTAGCTGTGTGAGGTGACCACTCTTCCCAATTCAATTCTAGGAACAAAATTTTATTCTCGAAGGGCACTGTTTTAAAGAGTACTACATGCTCAGTAAAGGAACCAGAGAACTTTCAAATGGCACTGACTAAACCAAAGAAGACATGGGAATGGGATGGGGTGCAGGGAATGACCATTGTCATGAAATTCCTATTGTAGAGACATGATGTTGGAAGGCTCTAATCAGCCCCATGGGAGAAACATGAAGGACAATTTGTCTTTGTTTCCCTTTAAGATTTATTTTCCCATAAAAGAACCAGGAGGTAGGCCAGAGCTATTAGGAGAGAGGTCAGAGAACTCACCAGAGACAGAATCGGGAGCAGAACAGGCAGATCTACTGAAGTACACTACTGAGGGGAGCAGTGAGTGAGACAGGAGAGGTCTGCTGTGCCATGTGGGTCAGTTCCTGGGCTGGGGATTGAACTTAGGCCACAGTGGTGATAGTGCTGAGACTTAACCCTTAGGCTACCAGGGAGGCCTAGTTTTTCGCTTTTTTTTAATTATTATTTATTTATTTATTTATTAAAGATTTATTTATTTATTCGTACAGAGCTGGGGTACAGGCCAGAGATGTGGAGGGTGAGAGGATTCACCAGAGACAGAGTGGGATACAGAACAGGCAGATCAACGAAGTATACTGCTGAGGGGAGCAGCGGGCGGGTCAGGAGAGGTCTGCCTCGCCATGTGGATCTCCTCCGGGGCAGGCAGGGATAGAACTCATGTGGAAGTGGCGTAAGCTTCTTTGTGCTGTGCTTTAACCCGCTGCGCCACCAGGGAGGGCCCAGTTTTTCGCTTTTTATATAAACAACCAGAGTTATATTCAGACTGAACAGCTGCTCATCTTTGGAGGTGTTGCAGTAGACTGAATGACTGCGTGGGGATCTGGTGACCCCGCTGCTTTATATCCTGGGTGAGGAGCTAACTAGATGTGACTGGAATTCTCTGAGGTAGAAACCCATAGCTTTTCCTACCTCCAGTTATCCACCTCCCCTCACTGGCTTTGGACAGTAATGATGAAGAACCTTGCTGCTGCAGCACCACTCCTTTCTTCTTCCACCACAGGGGAAAGATGAGGCTACTGTTCTCCAAGAGGAGGCGAATAAGAAGGAATCATTACAATCTGGTGCGTTTTGCAGAAGTCTATACTTGGTGCGGGGTCAGTGGGTAGCGAAAGGCAAGTAACCGTTGCTCTTCTTTCTCTCTGATCCCTAGAGCTACAGCTGGCTCAGTTGACACAGCAACTGGCCCAGACAGAGCAACACCTGAACAATCTGATGGCCCAGCTGGATCCCCTTTTTGAGCGGTAAGGGGGACAATGACCCTGGCCAGGGGAACTTGTGCTAGGCGGGAGAGCTGGGGACACAGATTGGGCAGCCTATCAGTGAAAATTTCTGCAGTGTAACTGCCCTGGCTGGAGCCCAGCAGGAGCTTCTCAACATGAAACTACAGACCATCCACCAGCTGCTGCAAGAGAACAAGCCAGACAAGTGTATGGAGGTTTCAGAACCAGGTAAAGGATTTGGAGGTGAGTCTGTGGAGGTAGGCGGTGTCTTTGAAACTGAGCCATATCTGATCTCTCCCCTCACAGAATGCAGCAGCCCCCTTCCCGAGGCCATCTGTATAGGGGAGGACAAGGAGGGTGCTAACAGTCAGACTTGGGAGGAGCCCCTGAACTGGAACACAGAGACAACGACCCAGGCTCCTCCCTGGGAAGTGGAGCAGGGACTACGGAGAAGATGCAGCAGGGCGACAGCAAAAGGCCCCAGCCACTACCCCCGCTGGAAAGGGACGACAGCTGAGAGTCTAGTAAAGCAAGGTCTATTCTTGTGACTGGGTGCTCCTATGTGCTTTTTCTACTCCAGCTGGTCACACGCACACCCATACTAGGTACCTAAGAACAACTGGGGCTTCTTGGGAAGCTGCCCTTATTAGGACAAAAAGGCAGCCTTCCAGTGAGAAGCTCAAAAGACAGGGGGAGCTCCAGGTCTCGTGTTCCTGAGGGCGCGGGCCAGGCTTCAGGACACAAAAAATCCCTTTTTCCTACTGCATAGCTGAGAAAAGTCTTTCAAAAAAAAAAAAAAAAGTACTAAAAACAGTGTAGAAACTATATACAAAATAAAAATAACTACATTCCAAAGCTGCAACCTTGATACATGACTGGCTGTACACACAGCACCGAGAGTTTATCAGTCCCAAAGCCCCTAATTTGTACGGGAGAGGCCGGCTCAGTGGGGTTCACTTGGGGAGACTCGATTTCCTGATTCTGTAAAGAGCTGGTCAAACAACCTGATGTGGCTTGTTCCAGGCAAACGTAAAAAGACCTTTCTCAAACCATGAAGGGTTCTGTATTTTGTTTAATACTGAAGACTGCTTTGTGCTCCTGACTCCGATCTATCCCTGAAGTATCCTGGATTCTGGAATTTGTAAGATTCTTCTAGTTTTTCTGGCTGCTGTGGAGAGAAAGTCAGTTCAGACACTAGCAAGAGCACACTATTCAGACCAACACATCCATGACAGTGGGGCCCCGCTCGTCGGATGTGAGAGGAGATCAGAACTGCTCACTTCAGCTCATGGGCTGCAGCACAGCACTCTTCCTGAGGAACAGTTTACCTGATGGCCAAGGTCAGGCTGTGGTACCAACGCAACAGCTCCTCCTGGTCTGTGGACATAAGCAGTAGCTTCTCATGGGGAAAGGACAGCTAGGGAGAGACCACATTTTAGTCACGGCTCAGAAGGGCTGGCAGTTAGAGCTGTTTCCGAGGAGGTACTTCAGGCCTTGAGAACTAGGCATGAAGCCCAAGCCCAGGCTTCTCCTCTCAGTGTAGATGGCTCAGGCCTGTGAAAGGCGTCCAGGCCAAGATCAGTAGGCACACAGCCATTTACGGTACATTTGGGGCCTCCTGCCTTGCTCCATTACTTACACTGAGCAGCCCACCACAGGGGCCTCCCGAGTGCCCAAAGACTCTGCGGAGCTGACACTGGGACATGGGGTAGAGGGCGCGGCAGGCAAACGTGCCACTCTGTAGCAGGTGCAGCGGGGGTCGAGGCTTGGCCATGAGGAGCAGATCAGAGAAGAGGAAGAACATTCGAGGTCGAGGCTCGCCACGGGGGGGAACCACCAACAGCCACCCCTGGCGTAGGAACCAGCGACCTAGGGAATGGAAGAGAGTTACTCTGACACAACTCTAGGCCCAGGATGCACAGGAAGAGAAAGGGAGGCGGAAGAAATAGGGGTTGTGTGTTGGCAGTACCGAGGAAGTGGGGTAACAAAAGTAGTGTTTGAGGATTGAGATTACCTGAGGTAAGCCCCTTTGCCTGGCGTCCACCGAGCAGAGCCTGGACACGCCGGAGGTGCTGGTCATTCTTCTGTTTCTGACCTATGGTGCGGACCTTCTGGGCAGTCTCACTTACCAGTCGGGCAGCTCCTAGAATGACATACCCACCCCACTTCCATCACCACTGTGACTTCGAGTGACTGGCAGTCATGAATGATGGGCTATCTGCAGAGTCTAGGGACATCGTATAGGTCAGTGGGAGGCTAGGGCCTAACACACATGAGATGGGAGAACTGCCAGAAGAGAGAACCCGAAATGGATACAGGAGTGGCAGCCTCCTGCCTGAATTTTGGAGGAGTAAGAACATACGTGTGAGCTGTTGGTGGTCAGGGCTGTTGGGACCTGTGTTTTCAGCCAATGCAACGACAAGATTCTCATACCTGGAATTAGAAGGAAGTCAATGAGGGGCAGCAGAGTCAGGTTAAATGCCCCCTGCTTGGTGAATGTGGCATAGTCATAGGGTGGTATGAAGGTGTACTTTCAAAATGGTAGTTATGTAATCTAGTGGTTAAGCAGTCAAAAGTAAAATATAAAAACCCTCTGCCTGACAAATATCACCCCTCCATATTACTTGGTTGCATGGCCTGGAGAGATCTGCTCCTGGCTACCAGATTCCCTGTCAGCTGGGATGCATGCCACATGCCCCCGTCCATTCCACAATGAAGAGTCTGGGGTGTGCTGACTACTGTTTCCGAGGCTAAATCCCAAGATGAAAGTTAACCCACCCAAGGAGGATGCTACAGACAACCTTACCATGTACGCTTTTGACTCATCCTCGGGAGCAGAAATTTTAAAGCAGGCCAGGCTCTAATGTTAATAAACTCTTCCAGATTCCAGTCACAGCCCTATGATAGGTCCTATAACTTCCCCAACCCCAGCTAAGAGGCTGCAGGCCCTGGGTACTCCAGTGAGTTCACACAGGATGTCAAGAGCAGTTATCCCAGGAGAGAGGCACTGGGACAGACCCCGTGCAACTCCACAAAACTGAGAGCAGCAGACATTACTCAGAAAAGAGAAGTTGGCTGAGTCACTCACTGCTGGAGCCTCTCCAAAGGCAGAGGGAGCAGGTCCTGGAGCTGAAGGCCCCCAAACTCAGGGCGGCCTTCCTGAAGCCGCACACACCTCCTGAAACGCTTCCTTTTCTTTAGTAGTTCCTGGAGGAGGGGGAGAGGGTTTGCAGCCTTGAGAGAGATCAGTCTTTGTATTGCATTCATCAGTGCACACAGTGATCAATAAGCTGTGTGCTCCTGAGAGCAGCTTTCTCCCTACAGGGAACTTGGCATGCAACCGGGTGCCCAGAGGGCCCTATAAATGCAGGAACAGTACCAAAGAAGTTTGGGTCTCCAGGTGAAGAGGAATGTATTGGGGCAAGAGAGGAAGAGAAGACGGACTTGAGGTCACCATCAGGTTACCTGCAGGGTGTTCAGGGACCTCTCCGCATTGGCAGCAAATTGTACGTAGAGCTCCAAGTGGGGGCAAAAGCCCTCCAGCCCACGGCCCCAGTGCCCTCCTTCGAGGTAGGGAAGCAGCTCTCTGCATGAGGATTATAAAAGGGCGGCGCAAGAGTCACCCAAGCACCACTTCATTTAATTTCCACAATCCTGGCCCGGAGGCAGGACTCATTCCCAATTACACCAAGGGCGGCAGCTTGGCTCCCGGCCCGGCCGACACCACAGGGCAGGGAAAAGGCAGGCTCTGCGTGGCCGCTGGGTCTCTCCCACTCTGCTCAGGCTCCCCCAGCGGCAGGGCGCCCCTCCCCTCTCCTTGCACCCCATCCACTCACTGGCTGGCGCCGTAAATGAGCTCCCAGGGCCCAAACAGAACCTGGATCTCTGGTGGTGTCAGGGTGCCCTTGGCTCTCAGAATTCCCACGAAGTACTGTGGAAGGAGAAGACGGGTGTAGAGTCTGGAGGAAAAGGAGGCTAACGCCCAGGCACAGGTGGAACTAGCAGTCAACTAGGGCTCCCTCCATGCAGGTGGGCAGACCAAGATCCCCCCCAATTCTCCGGGTCACCGACCTCGCAGAGCCCCTCCCACACCCCAATGTACCACCCCAGACGGGAAGGCGTGCGGGGCTCGCACCGTGGCCACCAGCCCCAGTTGCTCCTGGTAGCGCCTTTCGGTCTCCAGCAGCTCCCGGGCGGTGCAGCCTCGCTTCCGCTCCCAACGGGCTCGCTGCTCTTGCAGCGGGCACCGAGCGCTGAGAGCGGGGCTCTCCATCCCCGACTGAGGGTCTGCACTTCCGGCCGCAGCCCGCCGCAGATTCAAACCCCAACCGCTCGGGGCGGGGCGGCGGTCGGCGAGGCGAGGCGAGCCCGCCCCCTTGCGCCCGGAGGCTGCACCTGCCGGAAGTAGCGTGCTAGTAGCTCGCCGGCCAGCTGCTGGCCTAGCCGCTGCGCGGCGCCGCCAGCGCAGATAACTGGGTTTCCGTCGCCCCAGAGGCTGGGCGGCGGTTCTCTGCAAGGCACGAAATTGGGGCTGCAGCTTGAGTCGAAATTAAGGGTGCACCTACCGCGGGACCTCTGTGTCCTGGAAGAAGTGTCGCTGCTCCGCGGATGCTTGGGGAGGAGCACCGGCTGGGGCCGCGGGAACGGGCGTCGTCCTCCCCAGCCCATGTCTGCGCCTCCACCGGGCGCGGCAGCTGCGGGCGGGCAGTGGCCTGGGCTCTAGGGACGGGAACCGGGCGGGAGCTGGGTGGCGTGTTGAACTGGGAGGACTGATGCCTCGCGGCTAAGCGACTCTTGTCATTTCTTTCCCTTCCGGCTTCCACGCGCCTCCCTACTGTGTGCGCACAGGTGCTGGCGGTGCCGACGGGGTCGTCCCGGGGCGGGCGGGGGGCGGTGTGGGGCGGCCCCCCCGCTCTGAGCCTCGTCGCTGTGACCCTGCCTGGGAGCCAACCGCAGCGGCCCGCTTCTTTTCCAGGAATCGCTCTCCTCCTCACTGTGTAAACCCACCCCCCTCCTTTTTTTTTTTTCAACGCTTCTACCACATGGTGTTTGCACAGTGAAATGAAAACCTCCACTCACACCGAAGCTGGTACATGGTGCACAAGGATATCTAACTGCCCTATTCATAGTCCCCCAAACTGGTAAGAGTTCCCACGTCTCCAGCTAGTGTGTGGGCCCCCGTCAATGGCGGAGCCTTACGGGGAGGTGCTGTTCAGCATCTCCTAGGAATGGGCGCCACAGACGTGCAGCAATGCCGAGGAAGCCGGGAAACATGATGCTGAGTGGAAGATTGGGCTCAGAGGCTTTTGCCAACCTGAAAGGGACAGAAACAAATGCTGCTGGGAGCTCGGGGTTAGAGGGTGAGATGGACCCCAAAGGGCACTACTGAGATGATGGGATTATTCGAGATCTTGCCCAAGGTCCCGATGACACCCAATCTCTGTGTATCAGAACTCAGGGAACAGCATTCGCATAGAGGGGAACTTTGCCGTATGTAAATTACACCTTCATTGACAAATAAAAACAAACACCAGCAGCTCAGGGGTGACTGGGCAACAAGGGATCCTTAAGGTAGTCTCCCATTACTGAAACGCACCCTTTTTAGTTTTCTGCTTTTGAGTCTTTCCCTTTGTTCCTGCACGCGAGAGGATGAGGACTCAAAGCACGAGTCACGGCACGTCTCCCGGCGAAGTGCCCCGTCTGAGTCCCATCTGTAAGATTGGGAAGAGACCCGGGCCCACTCCAGACCCCGGGGCTTAGTTATTCCCAATGTTTTCACTACTAGGAATACTCAGGTGGTCTTAAGATTTGCAGTGTTTTGGGTTCCTGACAAAAGCGTGTAGGTTTTAAGGTAATGACTTCGTTTCTCCTTTCGTACTGGACAGCCGACAGCCCTTGGTTCTCTGCGCCAAAGACTTTCGCGAAGCAAGGGGAATAAAGGAAGCGATGAAAGTTTTTTAAGAAGGAAAAACCCGCTGCGCGTTGCAGAGGGTAGCCTCGGGAAAGCGGGATTGCTGCCCGGAACTGTAAAGCAGTAGTTTTTTTCCTTTTGGAGTGAGGCGAGATCCCTCTTGTATTATGCATGCATCATTCCTCCCAATTCCCCAGACTAGCTGGAATTCTCCTCCCTTTTTCTTGGAGTGGAGGGAAACTTGTAAAAGACTGCTCAGACACCTCCAGTCCTGCCAGATCAAATGCAGTCTTTGAAATGAGGCTGCAGCTGCTATGTGGAAGGGAGTACAGAAATGCTGCTGAGCAACTCTGGGGTTGTGGGGGGAACCCCTTTTTGTCCCTGACATTATTGATCCACAACCTGAGGGTCAAATAGCTTCTGGTCAGTTCGTGTGTTTCAACAATTAACGTGTGGTTCTAATAGTAGTCAAGGCAGGCGTTTGGAGTCCATGAGTCTGAGCTACCTAATTAAAGATAAAGTGTACCAGATGATTTTACCTAGGTCTTTTGGAAAATTGTCAGCAGAAGGGTAATTGGGCAGTACCATTTTGTCAGTATGAGAAATTCTATAACATGCCTATTCTCACCATCTAACTCTAGGAGAAAAATACAGTATGTCTGGCACAATGTTAATGACAGAACTGTAAACCACCTAAATGGCCAGTAGTAGATGAGAAGAAATATGGTATGGTCAGTTGAAGAAATAGTGTAATGGGGTGGTCCCTAGGAAAAGGGGACATTCCAGGTTCCCAGCCCCACCCAGAAGGAGGGTGGAGCTGAGCAGAGAAAAGCAGAGAAGAGGAGTCTGGTGAAGGAAGGAAGCAGGGTGGAGAGCCAGGAGACCTGCGGAAGCCACATGGAGCAGGGAGCATGTGATGAAGAAACCGTGCTTATTTGTTGGCCCTGAGCTGGTTGAAACAGATGTGGGTGAGAGACCCATGGGGAGGTTGACCATGGCAGCTTTTATTTTAATTTTGATTTTGCTCTTTTCCTTCCAGACTTGTCTGGCAAAGTCTGACCCTTTTCAATGGTGCTTTAGGCTTGTGGAGGGCTTTCAGGCCTTGCTTTGGACCAATCCCTTTTGGATAGACTTACCCACGAGGGAGGTGGGTAACTTTAGGTGTTTGATTGAGAAATTATATTCTTTGTCTTCTGTATTGTATACTCACTGTATTAAAGTTCTTTTCCATTAAAGCTCTTATGTCTTGTCTTGATGCAGCAGATGGCAGAACCTATTTAGAGCAGGCAGGTTTGGGGGTTCAGTGGTGCCCCTCCCCCTGCCCTGTAACAGTACAAAAACAAGATACTAAAAAAAAAAAAAAACAACCTGGGCCCTTCCTGGTGCCACAAAGGGTTAAAGCACAGCACTGTGAAGCTATAACAGCCACTACAGCACGAGTTCCATCCCCAGAGTTTCATCCCCAGCCAAGGAAGTGACCCACATGGCCCAGCAGACCTCTCCTGACCCGCCCACTGCTCACCTCAGCAGTGTATTTCAGTACATCTACCTGCTTTGCTCCCCTCTCTGTCCCTGGTGAACCTTCTCACACACACCCCTCTCCCCGCACCTCTGGCCTGTACCCCAGTTCTGTATGAATTAATAAATAAATCTTTTTTTTTTTTTAAAAAAAAAGCCTATCCATATGAGAAAATGCACACAATGGGAAAAGTCTACAAAACAGTGTAAAATATGATCCCATTTGTGTACAGATGTGGCTGAAAGGATAAACAATCAAAATGAATTACAGTTTTTATCACTGGATGATGGGATTGAAGATCACTCAATTCAATAAATTTTAAGTACTTAGTCTGTGCCAGCACTAGCTCACTGATGTGAAGCAGGTAAATGGGATAAGTAGAGTGATTGAAATTTTCTTATATTTTTCTGTCTTTCCCAATTTCTCTTTATAGAACATACACGCATTATTGTAATTCTAAAAAAAAAAAGCTTTTAAAAGTTAAAATGCTGGCCCTCCCTGGTGGCGCAGTGGGTTGACGACAGCACTGAGAATCTAAAGCCGCTTCTGCACGAGTTCGATTCCCGCCTGCCCCGGAGGTGACCACATGGCGCAGCAGACCTCTCCTGGCCCGCCCGCTGATCCTCTCAGCAGTGTACTTCATTGATCTGCCTGTTCTGCTCCCTACTCTGTCTCTGGTGAATCCTCTTGCCGCCCCTGAGCCTCTGGCCTGCACCCCAGTTCTGTATGCACAAATAAATACATCTTTAAAAAAAAAAAGTTAAAATGCTGGATGAAACTTTAGACCCCATTCTTATCAATGTGGACTCCTAGGAATCTGGGTCCCAAGCCAAGGATATTGTTAGGTTTCTGAGGTTCTTTCTGACCGTGATAATTCAGAGGAAGGAGAAGTGCAAGGCTTAGATCAGGGAGAAACCTGAATGGCCTGATGGAGGAACGATAGACACTGGGTCAGACTATACCTGTAACTTGGGTCTCGAGGAAACTGGTGATGCTGCTTAGGTAAAGAACTGGCTACACTATCTCAAATGAATAAGGGACCATGCACAGTAACAGCTCAAAAGTTCATGAGAAGCCAGAAGCAGAGATTGGAATAATGCAGCCACAGCCAAGGGTTGCTGGAGTCACCACATGTTAGACTAGGGCCTTAAACTTTCAGAAGCAGGGCCCTTGACTTCAGATTCTTAGCCTCCAAAATTGTGAGAGAAGAACCCTCCTTGGTGGCACAAGTGTTAAAGTCTCAACACTATGAAACTAGCCGCAGCCACTACAGCACAAGTTCCATCCCCTGCCAAGGAGGTGAATCACATGGCACAGCAGACCTGCCTCACCCGTTGCTCACCTCAGCAGTTTATTTCAGTAGATCTGCCTATTCTGGAGCCCATTCTCTCTCTGGTGAATCCTCTCACCTGCCGCCCCCCCCCCCATCTCTGACCTACACCCAGCTCTTGTATGTATAAATAAATAAATATTTTTTTTTAGATTTATTTTATTTATTTACACATATAGAACTGGGTACATACCAGAGGAGCAGGGGATGAGCTTCGCCAGAGACAGAGAGAAGGAAAAACCCGCTGCGCGTTGCAGAGGGTAGCCTCGGGAAAGCGGGATTGCTGCCCGGAACTGTAAAGCAGTAGTTTTTTTCCTTTTGGAGTGAGGCGAGATCCCTCTTGTATTATGCATGCATCATTCCTCCCAATTCCCCAGACTAGCTGGAATTCTCCTCCCTTTTTCTTGGAGTGGAGGGAAACTTGTAAAAGACTGCTCAGACACCTCCAGTCCTGCCAGATCAAATGCAGTCTTTGAAATGAGGCTGCAGCTGCTATGTGGAAGGGAGTACAGAAATGCTGCTGAGCAACTCTGGGGTTGTGGGGGGAACCCCTTTTTGTCCCTGACATTATTGATCCACAAC